ATAGACAAAGAAGGAAAAAAAAGTTGTGATATACATATTATTATTGTGATATACATTTATTGGTTATTGATGCCAATATCTATAACTAGGGCTATTTTCTACCAATTATATGGGTTATACCATGCCAAAACCCCAAAATAAAACTCTGCAACTAAACTAAGACTAGGCAAACTAGGCCCCAAAGAGCTTCTCTTGAGAACAGGAAGAAGGTTCTTTGTTACCATATCTGCCCATTTCTCCTTACTCTGGACATGGTGCAAAAAGCATGACGATGCCAAGATGTTCTCTAGCTTCACTCAGTTTGTCGCCTGCGAATGATGGCTTTATGAATGGATTTACAGTCCATCAGATAGGACAATTACATTGTTTGATACATGAGCATGTTCAACTTCTTATTCAGGTTTTTGCGGTTTGTGTTCTTGAGCCGGCCAGACGGCACATTGCTTCTGATGTTCGGGAATTGATATCACAAATGCTTCATAAACGTGATGAGTATTAGCAAGTTGGAGTGTGCCATATCCCAGTTTTTGCTTCTTCTTCCCATATGTTCATCCCTCAGTGTCTGATGAACCTTCGAAGACTTCGCCTGCCCAAATCACCAACAAAATATCTTCAGCACATGTTTTGCAGGGAGACTGCTCATCTGGAAGGCTCCTGGGTACCTTATATTAGTGGTCCAATACTATCTGTTCTTGATGTGGCTCCGATCAAATTAGTCAAGGACTTCATGGATGACGTTTCTCATGGTATATCATGTTAGAACACTAAATTTCACTTAGTTTTCTTATGGTTGCTCAGTTTATGATACTTTATTTACTTCATCATGGGTGATATTTATTGACAGCTATGCAAGATTACAAACATCGGCAAGTAGGAGGTATGGATGATATCTGCTCCGAGAAGGAACCCTTGTTTCCTGTGCAAAATATACATTTTACTGCTGAACCTGATGGTCAGGCTTCCTTGTATTCAAACGGTGTGCCTCCTCCTTCATCAAGTTTTCAAACATCAAAGAAGACTATGGCTGCTGTATTAGTAGAAAAAGCTAAAAAACAGGCAGCTGCTCCTGTTCCAAAGGAGATTGCTAAGTTAGCCCAGCGCTTTTTTCCTTTGTTTAATCCCGCCCTGTATCCCCATAAGCCACCCCCTGCAGCGGTAGCAAACCAGGTGCTTTTTACTGATGCAGAGGATGAGTGAGTTTTATGTCTTCTTTTACCTTTCTTGCAGTAGCAGTATCAGGGTCCTTATGAAATGAGTCGCTTTACTGATTAGGTCGTGATTGTAAAATTGAGGCAACATTGACCTTACTTTGGGGCATTTGATGCCTTCTCGCTTTTATTAGTTGGTATTCTCATCTTCTCCACAGTCCTATGGTGATAGGTTGTGAACTAAAACCTTGCTATAGGAAAAACAGAGAAGGTAGTGAATTTAGTTAGGGTTTAGAGTTGCAAAGTTGGAATTCACATATGGATTCTGAAATTTCCCCTAAATAAACGATCCCTGTTAGTACAATTTATTTCTCAGCATGGTACAAAATTGGGTGTTATCATGAAGCAAAAAGATTTGCTTACGTCTATTGTACGAAAACAATTGAATGAAGCTAATTACCTATATCTGTGAGAGCCTAAGCAGTTATAGTCACTGTGATTTGGTTAAATACCATGTATCATTCATCCTCCACTTCCTTTGGCAATTTCATCAATTCCCTACTAGGTCTTAAGGTTTTAATATCATGGACGATCTTCATTTTTACCCATATTCGCTTTTACCATTACTAATAAGTTTTGTGATATTACCTTGGCATGTGATGCAGATTATTAGCATTGGGTTTGATGGAGTATAATACAGACTGGAGGGCAATTCAGCAGCGCTATCTTCCTGGCAAATCTAAGCATCAGGTGATTCTTATGTGCACTTCCACTTGCAGCAACAGTGTTGTCAGTCATTTATTCTCTCGATTTCATTGTCTTCTTAATGTTTAGTTGTGCTTAACGTGAAGAAGTGCTTGACCTTTTTTGCAGATTTTTGTCAGGCAGAAGAATCGCTCATCATCTAAAGCACCTGAAAATCCAATAAAGGTTTGTTATTGGTGTGCATAAAACATTTATAAACAATCATACTATTAACGCTATGGCCCCATTTGAACTGCCTCTTCCTAAAAGTGCCTGCAAAACCACTTTAGCAATCTATTCATTCTATCAGTTGGGATATGCTGAATGTTTAAGCCGTCTCCTACCACTCCTTCAACTGTTCAAAGATTTTTTTAACTCGAAAATGACTTTCTCGATTCACCTAATAAAAGTACAACCCACAATCGCAATTCATCCATGAATCATGACCTTTTTTGCAGTATTTTCCAAAATATCTGGTCCTTAATTTGTTTGGGGTGCGATGGGTGATGCTGAGCATAGTGAAGGAGGCGTTGCGTAGTTGGTCTCACATGAGGGGGAAGAGAAGTCCAAAGGCTTGGAGGGTTGCCCCCATAGCAATCATGTGGGTTATTTGGAAAGAGAGAAATAAGAGGCTTTTGAAGGGGTGGAACTTGAGTTTGTAAAATTGCAAAGTTGCCTTTTGTTTCTAGTTTCTTTTTGGTGCACTCATGAGGTCCCCACTTGTATAGAGCGCCGGGCCTATGTTGTTGAGAACCATATATTTGTGTAGGTTCTTTCTTTTTGGCATACGACTTGTATACGGGGTTTCCCCCAATTGTTAATAAAATTATTTACCTTATCAAAAAATATATATGTTGCTAGAGATGCCATTTATTTTGTTTTGAATGTCACATTGTGTTTTATGATTGTTGTGGTCATTGATTGTGGTATATAATGTAGTAATGAATCTTGTAGGCGGTTCGGAGGATAAAAAACTCTCCGTTGACAGTAGAAGAGGTTGCATGTATTAAAGAGGTAAGTTTACAATGCAACTTAAATTTCCATAGCACCACCATCTCCATTTGTCGCTGCTTCACTATTTATATAGTCATGATCATGCAGGGTCTGAAGGTGTTCAAGCTTGACTGGATGTCAGTGTGGAAGTTTATTGTTCCTTATAGAGATCCTTCCTTGTTACCCCGGCAGTGTCGCATTGCTATTGGAACTCAGAAATCATATAAATCCGATGCTAGTAAGAAGGCAAAACACCGGTTATATGAAGAGAGAAGAAAATCAAAAGCAGCTGCTTTGGAAACTTGGCATGTTTCTTCCGAAAAGGAGGTAAGGCTGTGCCTTTCAGTCAAACTATTATTCTGCGTCCATTTTCCATGTTAGAAAGGTGTACTTTGTCAAAGAAGTACCTAACTCGCCCATGCAGTATGTTCTTTCTCTTATTACCATAAACTTTATCTTGCCAATTGCTAGTTAGTACCACAAAGTTGGAGCATGGAACTGGTAAAAATAGGGAAGTAGGTTTGTTTTGAAATATAGTCATGATGCCAAATCTGCTAAGAAGCTTAGTTTTGTTTAGAAATTATAAGTTGGATTGATATTTATTACCTGAATCTTGGTTAATTACTGTTTACTGAAGTTCTTAATTAATATGGATTTTTCTTGCTCTAGCATGAACTATCTTATACACGGTTCCATCTTATATCGTATTAAACCTGATCATATAATGTGATTAATTGCACCAAATCTTTGTTTTACAATCCCTAGTTGAGCCTAATTTGAACTTTTCCTGAAAGGGATTTAGTTTACCATTTGTAAATCTGGATTTTCTCTTTAGTAACCTACGATTATCAAGTAGATTAGGCTTGCTTGCAGTTACTATAGATTAGGCCAGTTGCTGCAACTGGCTTAGATTTGCATTGGATGTGATTATTGGTTGCTCGGCTGGGTTAGTCATGTTGAAATTCATCATTCTTGTGGCTATGGGCTGGGAACCGGAAGAATTAGATTGGACTAAGAGTGATCTAACTTATCTAATACTATGTAGAAATAATCAAATATGTTATTACTAAGATGTAGTTTAATGCTTGTTTGACTAAAGCTAGGATGTATTGTATCCTACTTGAAAATCTTTTTGCAAAAGAGATTACACAAAAGAAAAGCAAATTATAAGAAAGGATGAAGGTATCCTCCAACCGAATGTCTTTACGTTGAACTGGCAGAGGAGGAGAGAACATGATGGATTTGGGGTGTGGGCCAAGCAACATGGAGCTGAGGATGCAATTGTGTGGACAATGGCTGACGGGAAGAGAAAGACAAATAATAAGTGGGTTCTGCCGATGGTTGGATGAGAGGAAGAAAACTAAATTACGATTCTCAGAAAAATTGAAGAGAAAGTTATCAAAGTCTTCTGTTGTATTATGGTTCAATTGCAGTTTCCCCAGCAGAGCCCCTTACATGTGGCCCAACTATGTTCTATTAGTGCTGATTGGTTGGATTTTAAAACATGTCCCCAATCAAATGTTAAAGTTGAACGTTGTCAACTAGAGATGGAAAAATGGATATATAATAAATGGAGTTTGTACATAATGGATTCTATATAGGTCTAGGGTCATCAATAATAAATGGGAGGGATTTCATGCTTCTATCTAGAAGCCGTTTTGCGTTATATTTTAATATGACGTAACAATTTTATCTCCTAATCGTCATGCATTCATCATCTACGAATTTTCGGTAGCACCAGGCTGAGTATGCAAGGTTGATCATGTCCTACATAGACTTCAAACTATATCATGGCGATTGAATCTCCTAAAATTGGACAAGGTAGACTTGTAATCACATGAAGGGAAGTCTCAAAACACATAATCTCTCGAGACTAGTGTGAATTAGCTAAGAACAGACACAATGGATGGAAAATATTCATTTTCGGCATCAACTTTTGTGATTAAAGCTCAGTTGTTAGTTTTACACTTGCATTAGATCTGATGTTTGCCAGAAATAGGATTCTTTTTAGCTTAATTGTTAACTTGCATGTCAATGTAGGGATGATGGTGAAATTTGGAAAACCTCTTGTTGTAAAGACCATTGGTTTACATTAAAAAACAAAGTATTTTCCAGTTTTGGAATGGAATGGGTTAGAATAGATTGGAGTGGATACGGAGGATTCATATATCCCAGTACTAGTTTTTGCTTGAGGCGCAACCGACTGTTGATTGATTTATAGATCGCTTAAACATTATGCCTCATCTAAGTTGAACCCATAGAAGTGTGTGACCATCTCATTTAAAGCCTAATTTGTTAGGGAGGTCACACTTTTATTTACTTAATTATATTATGTCTTTAACATGCCTCCTCACATGCAGGCCAAGTGAAAATTCCTTCCCTTCATAGCCCAAATGGAAATTTGTTTTGATAAAGGGTAGCTGTGAGATTCGATGTCTGATAATATTAAAGTGTGTGGCCATCTCATCTAAAAGTTTAAGATATTAGAGAGAGTACACCTTATTTATAGAAAAACATAAAGAGAGCACATTTTTATTTACTTAATTATATTACTCCTTCCATTCCAATTTATGTGAACATGTTTGACTGGGCATGGAGTTTAAGAAAAAAATGAAGACTTTTTGAATTTGTGGTCCTATACAAGTTAAAAAGGGCCCCAGAGTATTTGTGTGGCTATAAAAGTTTCTCATTAAGTGTAGAATTGTAAGTTTAAGCTAAATTGTTACCAAATTTAGAAAGGGGTCATTCTTTTTGGAACGGACCAAAAAGGAAATAGGTTCACATAAACTGGAACAAAGGGAGTATGTCATCAACATGATCTGGTCTGTTAGTGATTTTGTTGTACTTCGCAAAATATTCTAGCTAAGGTGAGAATGAATGTACTTTGCAAGGCTACACATATAGCTGCTTTATATGTTGGTGTTGAAGAGTTGTCTATCATGTTGTAGACTTTTTTTTTTTGTTAAGTCCACGTTCAGCATATTGGAATGCAAACAAGAGCAAAGAGTGGACCTAAGTCTTGGTGACTAGATATCATTCATATCCATTTACATGGTTATGCATATGGACCATGTCACAACAACTCCACCCCTAAGGTTAGAGATTCTTTAAATTTTGAATTTTTATTTTTGATGATGGTTGTGTTCAAGCCGATTGGTGCACACCTTGATTATTGCATCGAGTACCTCCATTCTCCCACCAATTATCGGGTACTCTGTCCACTAGATTTAGGCATTGAAAAAATTTCACCTAGCATTTTTTTGTCTTTGCTGAGATTTGGACCCTGGTTTCGCATATTCGTCATTTCAACTTCATTGACCACTAGACCACATTCTTAGATGCAAGGTTAGAGCCTCTTCATATATGAGGGAAAAGGAAACGTCGGGATGTAGGGGCCTTTGCTATTTTGGCATGAAGCGAAGGAGGTTGGGCCTAAGAAAAGGTACTCCACTCCTTGATTTGGTTGAACAGTTAATTTAAGAGTAGAAAAGAGGTGTTCAGACATCTAATCATCGAAGTTGGAGGGACGACCGGGAAGTATAAGTCCTGCAAACACTTGAAAAGTTGGCAGGCCCCAAAATATGGCAATTATTTTCCTCTATCCAATTACCTTCATTCTATTGTCAAACCAAAAAAAGGAGATGGCCGTTTTCCCTTTTTTCTGGTTCAAAGCCTAGGAATCCTTCTCTTTTCGAGTTGGCTAATGAGCTCTTTCATATCTGCTCGTTTAAGGTGGACATGTATGGGAGGTCAAAGGGAGGAATTCATAAGATACACACATTTTAAGGTCAGTTACAGTAGAAAAACAAGAATCTGGCGAGAAATTTAGTATTTTGACGCATCACTTAAGAGTTAAGACGGGAATATCCAGATCTTTTTAGTTTTATAGGTTGTCCTGAGTCAACGATTACTCAAAACATGAACAGTAGAGTATAGGACACTAAATTTTGAAGAAATTGCCATGATCAGGGTACGGATTTATGCCGGGACAGTCAAGGTGAGACGATTGATGGGGCAATATAGGGAGAGAAAACATGACTTGCGCATGGTGTTCAAGTCAACTATTGCTCAAAAAATTAATAGTAGAGTATAAGACATTAAATTTTGAAAAAAGTTGCCAGGACCAGGGTTCAGATTTATGCCGGGACAATCAACTACAGAAGCTATTCACCTGGTGAGACGATTGGTGGAGCAGTATAGGGAGAGGAAAAATGACTTGCACATGGTGTTCATTGACCTTGAGAAGGCTTATGACAAAGCCCCTAGGGAAGTGTTATGGAGATGTTTGGAGGTTAGCGGAGTCCTGGTAGCGTACATTAAGGTGATTAAAGACATGTACGAAGGTGCTAAGACTAGTGTGAAGACTGCGGGAGGAGACTCAGAACATTTTTCTATGGAGATGGGGTTGTATCGGCCCTTAGTTCGTTTTTATTTGCCCTAGAGTTGGATGTGCTGACAAGACACATACAGGGGAGGGTGCCATGGTGTATGTTATTTGTTGATGATATAGTATCGATTGACGAGACGCGAGGGGGTGTTAATGCTAGGTTGAAAGTTTTAAGACAGACGCTGGAGTCCACAGGTTTCAAGTTGAGTAGGTCGAAAACTAAATACTTGGAGTGCAAGCTCAGTGATAGAGGCATGAAGAAGAAGTGGAAGTGGAGATTGATACTCAAGTCATTCCCAAAAGAGAGAGTTTCAAGTATCTTGGGTCTATAATCCAAGGCAACATGGAGATTGACGAGGATGTTATCCATTGCATTGGAGCGGGGTGGATGAGATAGAGGCTAGCTTCGGGGGTTTATGCGATAAGAATCTGCCGCCTAGACTTAAAGAAAAATTCTACAAGGGTGGTGGTTAGACCGACTATGTTGTATGGAGCTGAGTGTTGGCCCGTCAAGAAGTCCCATGTCCAAAAGATGAAAGTAGCTGAAATGGGGATGCTGAGATGGATGTGTGGACATACCACGAAAGACAAGATTAAGAATAAAGTTATTAGGGACAAGGTGGGACTGACATCTGCGGAAGACAAATTGCGGGAATCGAGGTTGCGATGGTTCGGGCATGTGAAGAGGAGCCCGGTCCGGAGGTGTGAGAGGTTGACCATGGCGGGCTTGAGGAAGTGCAGGGGTAGGCCAAAGAAGTATTGGGGAGAGGTGATGAGGTAGGACATGTCATTGCTTCACCTATCCGAGGACATGACTAGCGATAGGAAGGTGTGGAGATCAAGAATTAAGGTGGTGGGTTGACATGTAGTTGTGAGTTTCTCCTAGGTTTACCAGTAGTACTGGTACTATTCTTGTATTCTTTTATTCTTAGTTCTTTATTACTTGTTATGTCACTCGCTTCCATTACTTATTGTATTACTGCTGTTATTGCTTGTTGCTTTATTTTTACCGTTCCTTAAGCCGATGGTCTATCAGAAACAACCTCTCTGCCTTTATAGGATAGAGGTAAGGCTGCGTACATACTACCCTCCCCAGACCCACGTATGAGATTAAGTTGGGTTTGTTGTTGTTGTTGTTGCCAGGATCAGGAGGCTCTCGCTATATAGTTTAACTAGGCTAACTCTAGATTGAAGATAAAGGAACAGTTTCTAGGGGGAAATATTCTCTGTGATCGAAATTTGACAGTAAACATCTGTTCTCTGTGTAAGGTACTTAAGACGCACTATCCAGTTATGCAGACAGTAGGAGCCATTGGCGATGGAAACTGTCGCAAAACTAGAGGTCTTCCCGAAGTTTCATGTTTTGGTTGGATAGTAGTTTATGAGGCATGTCTAACTTGGGACAATTTAAGCAGAAGAGGCTAATAAAAAAAGAAGCCGAAGAGGCTTTAGACTATATGCGGTAACTGTTACATATGTTAGGAGGAGACTCGAATATAAATCATTTGTTTTTACATTGTGCTGTAGCTAATAAATGTTAGTGCAATGTTTGGAACATGAGACCTCTTTTGATCTATGGGTTACCTGGTGGGAGCACACCACATACATTTGAATGAAAACAAAAATTAGTACAATTTGAAATTTTCTTATTTACATCTGTTGGATATCTGACGTAATTTTATTTCTGCAGATGACATAGATGTTCTATGTGAGATTTAGAGGATCTCTAGTTTTAGAAAACTTATAATTTTCTTATAAGTCAAATTATTCATTAGTATTAAAATAAAATGTTCCGAATAAAGCGGAATGGATAATACAACCCCAACTAGCTTGTGATTGAGACATAGTTGATTCATCTAATGATGAACGGATTTTGGTTGGCTCCCTACACTTTTGAGAAGGGTCTTTAACTTTAATGTTCCTTTTCTACATTCATCCACTGGATGCAGTTGGATATAAACTATAATGCCCTTGCTCATGAAAAAAATTGCAGGATAATGTTGCTGACTATGCTGTAACAGAAAATAGTGGTGCAGATAATTGTACAGAAAGAGATGAGGAAGCTTATGTTCATGAGGCCTTTTTGGCAGATTGGAGGCCTGCTGTATCCAGCATCCAAGTGAATCATTCTATGTCAGACCTGGCAGAGAAAATTCCTCCTGCTCAGCTATTGGGAGATGAGAGTTCTCCAGTTGCTGAAGAGATGAATAGCAGTCGTTCTGGAAATGGGCAATCGCACATCTCTAACGAGTTCCCTGTTTCTCTGAGGTACACATTGCATCTTACTCTTTTCATCTCCTTTGTTTTTGTGTTTGTTTTCTCAAGATGGCAGACTTTCTGCATTATGATGACTCATTATGCTTCTCATCTGACTTGAAGGGCCTCAAAAACGGAGTCCTTTTCGCGGCCATACCGAGCCCGTAAATTTAACAATGGACAATTAGTCAAATTAGCTCCAGGCTTGCCTCCTGTTAATCTTCCACCATCTGTTTGAGTTATATCTCAGTCGGCTTTTAAAAGCTATTATGGTGGAACGTATCCAAGGACTTTTGGTGGGGATGCTTGTGCGGGTGATACAGACAACACAGTCCCAAAAATTGCAAGTGCTGCAAAGAATTATTATGTGAAAGATGGACCGTTTAGCATTAGTGCTGGGAGGAACACTATAAGTAATCAGAATCTACAGGAAAGCAGGGTGTCAAAGGATAATAAGAATGTTACCGAAGGAAAAGATGAGTCAGATCTACAGATGCATCCTTTGCTCTTCCGGGCCCCTGAAGATGGCCCTTTGCCATATTATCAGTCTAACTCTAGTTTTAGTACATCCAGTTCGTTCAGTTTCTTTTCGGGTTGTCAACCTCAACTAAATCTTAGCCTCTTTCATCATTCACGCCAATTAGCCCATACTGTTAACTTTCTTGACAAGTCTTCTAAGCTCAGGGATAAAACTTCAGTATCATCTGGTTTTGACTTTCATCCACTTCTGTAAAGAACTGATGATGCAAATTGTGACTTGGAAGCTGCATCCTCTGCTGCACCAACCTTATGTATCACAGAGTCATCAAAAGGAAGGTGCACTCAAGTTCAGAATGCTGTCGATAGTAGTTCAAATGTTGCTTGTTCTATACCCTCTAGCCCTGTGGGAAAAAGCAATGAGGTTGACTTGGAGATGCACTTGAGTTTCACGTCCAGAAAGCAGAAAGCCATGGGAAGCAGAGGAGTGGCTGACCATTATATGGGAAGATCACCTACTAGTGCTTCAGATTCTGGAGCTCAAAATCATCAAATCAATAGAACTCCAAATAGAACCACGCAACCCCATGATTCAGGTGCTACCGCAATGATTTTATCCAACGACCGAGAAAATGGAAATGACCTTGATTATATGGCAGACCAGCCCCTTGCAGAAATTGTGATGGAGCAGGAAGAGTTAAGTGACTCAGAGGAAGAAATAGGAGAGGAGATATTTGAATCCGAGGAGATAATTAATGATAAAAATGAGGTATCTCTTAAAAATAACTCTTTTAAGCTGCTTAGGGGATTTCTAGGACTTAGAAGGAGAGGAGACATTTGCACCTTTCTTCTCTTTATGGTACAAGACCAGAATGGTGAAATTCATATGGTGCTTTTGCAAACTCCTGGAATATGCTACAGCTGAAATTCTTGCTTCTTTTCCTAGGTGAAACTGAACTTGGAATTGTCTCGTAATGCTGCTTGACAAAACATGTATTTAAGATGACTAAGCAGTATTTAGTCAATGTATCCCTGAAGATAAATGTGGAGGTTGGAGGAAGAAATATTGTGCTGGTTGATGTGCTCTCTAGACGAATTTCCCTTGTCAGCGACCGCGCAACTATCATTTTTGGTGCAGATGTCACCTATCCCCACCCTGGGAGGATTCTAGCCCGTCAATTGCTGCGGTAATTGTTGTAGACTTCATTCTTTTGGTTTCATTAATCCACTCCCTTCATCTATATATCTGAAGCAAAGAAGTGCTAACTTTTCATATCTTTCAGGTGGTTGCTTCTCAAGATTGGCCTGAGATTACAAAGTATGCTGGTTTGGTTTCTGCTCAAGCGCATAGGCAAGAGCTTATACAAGATCTGTACAAGACTTGGCAAGATCCAGTTAGAGGACCTGTGACTGGTGGCATGATAAAGTATTCTGCCTTTTTCTTTCCTCATTTTCAAAGAACATGTCTTGATTTTCAAGGTTCAAGCTAATGGACTTAAATTTGCTTCTGACTGATGGTCTATCTCATTTATAACTCAGGGAATTGCTTATTTCCTTCCGTCGAGCAACTGCACAGAAGCCTTAGAGAATTATATTGTACAGGTATTGTTGAATAACGCTTCTATACCTGCATTATAGAAATTTCTGTTCCTTTTTTGTCTGAAATGAATTATCCTTTTCCCTTCAGAGATGGTGTTAGTGAAGGACAATTTTATCAAGTTCTTCTTTTTGAACTTGACGCAATCTGCAAGGTAATTTCTCGTCTATTATACCTTACTCTGCCTGTTTATTATAAACTCTGGATTTCTCTCTATTTTTTGGACCGTGAAGATGGGTAGAAAACAAGCTTGCCCTTTTTATTTGTTAGAAGGTATGAACTGACTTGAACCCAATTCAGGCATGTGCATCTTTAGAACCCAACTATCAGCCCCCAGTTACATAGCCAGGGTACTCCGGTAGCCCACGGGAGAGCATGTACTGCGTCAGGAGGTTTCCAAAGAAGAACCTTTTGATCCTTTGGCCAACACGGGTGCGGGCCATCTCCCCTAGCATGATCTCACCCACGTTTATGGGTCGCCCAGTCATCAAAAAGAATATCACACACACTCGAGCTCGAGTGCATTCACTGGTATGCTCAACAAGTATCAATCTAGCCTGCACAAAGTTTGCCATACCTTGGCCGTCTTGTTGAAGTCGAAATGGAGCATCTCAAGCTGGGCATCTCCCTTAGTCTGTGTCCACTTCGCATTAGAATCAACGCCACAAAGAGTATGATGTATTGTCCGGTAGCGTGGGCTTTTGACGAACTTCTGTAGCCTCCGTGGATTAGGGCTATCAACTCCCAAAAATTCACACAAGGATCACCTATCCAGTGGTATCTCCTTTCCTCGGACTCATGACTGGAACATGTCTGTGTTCCAATTGGCATACATCTCTCGCACCTTGCTCAGATTTGCAGGGCCCGTGCATTCTAGCTTATCCATCTTCATCTCTACCAACCGGGCAAACATATTCGGGAAGTTCTTTTCTAGAGCCTTTATATTAATCCCCTTTTAGGAGACATATCTACCATATGGCACAAAGTTATTATGCCATTTGATAGCGTCTTCTCGAACTAGATCCAACCGAGGCCATGGGACCGATGGTGTCCTCGTCGACCCGCTAGCAACCTACTTTCCCTTAGCATGCCGGGAAGAACCTTCACCCTACTTACGTTTTTTGGGAGGGGGAGCAGTAGTGGAGGATTTTCCGACCCCTTTTCCTTTGGGAAGGGTAGCAGTAGTTGAGAATTATCCAAACGTTTCCATGGAAAAGGGGTGAGAAAGTCCTCTACTACTACCCCATCCCAAAAAACGCAAACAGGGTGAAGGTTCTGGAAAAAGGGTGGGAAAGTCCTTCACTACTGCTCCCCCTCCCAAAAAATGCAAGCAGGGTGAAGGTTTTTCCCAGCAAGCTAAGGGAAAGCAGATTTCTAGAGGGTCACGAGGACACCATCGGTCCCACGACCTCGGTTTGGATCTAGTTCGAGAAAATGCCATCAAAAGGCATAATAACTTTGTGCCATATGGGAGATATGTCGCCGAAATAGGGATTAATGTGAAGGCTCTAGGAAAAAACTTCCCGGATGTGCTTGCCGGTTGGTAAAGATGAAGATGGCTAAACTGATAGACTTCCCGGGCCCTGCAAATCTGAGCATGGTGCGAGAGAGGTATGCCAATTGGAACGCAGACCTGTTCTAGTCATGGGTCCAAGGAAAGGAGATACCACTAGATAGGTGATCCTTGTTTGAATTTTTGGGAGTTGATAGCCCTAATCCACGGAGGCTACAAAAGTTTGTCAAAAGCCCACGCTATCGGACAATACGTCACACTCTTTGTGGCGTTGATTCTAATGCGAAGTGGACACGGACCAAGGGAGATGCCCACCTTGAGATGCTTCGTTTCAACTTCAACAAGATGGCCAGTGTATGACAACTTCGTGCAGGCTAGATTGATGCCCGTTGAGCATAACAAGGAATGCACTCGAGCTCGAGTGTGTGTGATATTCTTTCTGATGACTGAGCGGCCCATAAACGTAGGTGAGATCATGCTAGGAGAGATGGCCTGCACACGCTTTAGCCAATGGATCAAGAGGTTATTCTTTGGAAACCTCCTGACGCAGTACATGCTCTCCCGTGGGCTATCGGAGTACCCTGGCTATGATGAGGTAGTGGAGGCACTAATGGCGTTGTTAGACATTTCATCCTTGCTGGAATCCACATCAAAGCTAAGTCAGGCTGCGAGGAATGAGAGGGACGAAAACTTCAACAGGTTGGATGAGCGTATGCATCTTTGCAATTAGCTCTCCAGTTCTTCCAAGGAGATGTTGGGAATTACACCGGCAGTCCCATTCACCCATCTGAGGATGAGAACACTCGCAAAGTATCCGATGATGAGGATGAGATTGGTGATGAAGTCATGGGGCCCATGACTTTGGTGCCCCCAGAAGCGGATGATGATGAGCCCGAAGCTGCGGCTGGTGGGCATTCCGAAGAGGAGGAATTCGACTAGCAGGGAGTTCTTTCTTTCCATCTTACTTTGTTTTAATTTTTTTATGCATCGGGGACTATGCATTATTTAAGTGTGAGGTGGGGGAAATACTTTGTGACTTGTAATTGTATAAATTTTTTATTTATTGTTAATTTTTTTAGCTTAGTTAGAACTTACATGGTCTAAATAGCTAGTAAAAAAAAGAAGAAAAAAAATCAGAAAGTGCTCGGATTTTTCCCGACGATGGATCTGCTGGACAGGTTTCTTAAGGGATTAAAGTCCGATTAAGAATACCAAAAAGATTTTCTTTTGTTCTTGTTAGGATAGTTAGATAGTATCCCTTGGTTTTTCTTTTGGACGTTGGTTCTTTTCCAAGGGTGTAGCTCGAACTGGGTATTTTTTTTAGGAGTAGGATAGGGAGAAAACTGAGGTGCTCTGAGGTACCTGTTGAGATGTTTGGTGTTGGCACATTAAGCTATGGCATGCACTCCGTCTTCCTGAATAGTTGATTTGAATTGTAATGCCCAAGTAAATTAAGTAGCCTACTTTGTGACGCATTTTTCTCAGATATTTGACTTGTATGCCACCTAGTGTGTAGCAACCCCTTTGGGAGGGTACTACTTAGGAAACAAATTTAATTTCCTATTTACAAAATATTAAAAGAGATATTAATAAAAATATTCAGAATAATTTTAGTAGCGGAAGTAGGCTCATGCGAAAAGGTTCAAAGTGCAATATTTTTTTTGAAAATACACCATAATTTTATTTTAAATGAAATACAATGTCAAAATATTAACATATGGTGATATAACCCTTCTTGATTAATCAACATATTAAAGAAACTTCCTAACAGATTTATACAATCATTCAAAATCACTGCAAGTTTGTATTGTACATAAATTTCAAACTATCGGGTATAAAAAAAGGAAACTAGTTTTCTCATTTTCTACATATTTACTAGACAAAGTGTAAATTTAGCATATTACAAGACTTGAGTTATTAAAACACCCTAATACAATAAAATAGGTTACAAATTCAAGTTACAAGATCTTGGTCTTTAAAATCCAACAAGCCTCCAAATAACATAAGTGTGACATATATATATATATGTATATATCCTGTATATCTTGTATATCCTATATATCATGTACATGTCCCAAAACTATGCAAACCAAGGTGCATATGCAAATGTGATCTCCATAAATTCTCCCAAAAAGACTACTTCACCCTGGCCATCTTCAGATTTCATCCCGAACATTTCCTACGATAGAAAACAACTATCGCTAAGCATAAAGCTTAGTGGTGTATAAACTTTAGGCTTGGAGTCATTAAATTCTCCAATTCCCCTTTTCAGTCATAGTTAGCTCAATTTTACATAATTTAAAACAAGTGAACAAATATATCAAACATATCAATATCAAACTTTGAAGTGTTTCCAAATATCAATAACAATGTTCAAGAGTCTAGAAAGTGTATACTATCAATTTAAGAGAGTATACCAAATATCCATTTTTCGCCCAATATGTACGTCATGCCATCACACTAAGCATAATCAGATATCAAGATGGACCGAAGCCCCAAATCAAGTAGGGTCAAAACCCAATAGACAAGAGAATCAAGAACCATATTAAAAATGGCTTCCTAGTTCGTACTTAACACGGACAAGTTCCATAATTCAAGACGAACTACAAATCCAAAGTCAAGATGGCAAAAGATCTGAATCAAGAGGCATGCCAAGATGAGTGACAAAGTCACTGCCACAAGAAGGACAAAGTCCCAACAAGAATGCAAAATGATCAAATAATCCGTACGAATGGACGATTTAGCAAATATCTTACAATACTTGATATAATACGAATATAACAATATAAATTGAAGACAAGAAAAATAAAATATCAGGTTATTTCAAAATATTCCAGCAAAAAAAAAGGAGTACAAGTTTATACACAAACCTTGGTGTTTTACCACAAAACAGTTCAATCACAACTTGGGGACGTTCGAATCGTCTACGCCGTAAACAAACCAAATCTGTCCACTTCCTCAAACACTTCCCCTTTGATTTTTTTTTCAAGTGTTTATATACCTTAAATACATAATCAAATATCTAAATAAGTTCAGTGATTTAGCAAGTCAAACTAAACATGATATTGGTGAAAATTACCCAAAAACATTTGAAACAGAAATTCTGGACAGTATCCATGTTCCGAGTTGTGACTCAATTTTGAAGATCTATACGGACAAATTAGACTTTCTGGTCTTCACAAAAGTTGTAGATCTATATCTTACCGTTTCAGAACATCTTGAATCACCTCCATATCAATTTTGAACAAAAAGTTATGCTAAAATTACTAACAACAATATATGGAGTATTTCTAAAGCTGAAAATCTGGACAGCACCTGCCCTGTACTTTCTGATCCCTTTTCAGGTAAATACCAACAAAACTAGATTTTGGTTCCTTCATAAGAGTTATATATTTATGAAATACCTTTTCAGAAAGTCCTGGATCACTTAAATCGGAGCTCTGTACAAAAAGATATGTAGAAAATACTAGTAGGTGCCTAGTATAAAAACGAGTTTAGAAACTTACCAAGAGGAGAAACTTGATCTTCACCAAAAACGAAATTTGCTTGTTGATTTAATAGAAATCCATGGTTTTTTTTTTCATGAAACTTCAGATTCTAGAGAGAGAGAGAGAGAGAGAGAGAGATAACTATTCTTCTTTGTCTTGAAGAGTAGAAAAAATGGGGAGTTTATGGATAGATATGAAATAAAATGGTTACCCAACTACTAAATATTCTTAGATAAATACAAAAGGTTGGAAATCAAAAACTTAATTATATATATATTATATTTAATAACAACTAGTCAAAATAATATTAAGTGTTACATATAGCAACATCATGGAACTTCATTGCCAATATTAACACAACCTAAAGTAAGAAATTTTCATATATTGACCATTTCACATTTAAGAAATGCAAAGTAAAATATTTCCTCGTTATAAAAATTCTCAATCAAGAATGCAAATATTATAAAAAATTTTGGGGTGTTACATAGTGCATTATTGCTTAAAAATTCTCATGCTTGCTTGACTTAAGAGCCGAACAAAATCGTCTTGATTGAGTCATGTGCAATGTGTATGTAAGGATTTGTGATATTCTGTGCTATCGTGTGTAGTCTAGAACTTGCCCCGTGTGTTAATCGAAGTGAAATCGTTAAGTTGTGCTAGTCTAGGAGATGACGTAGGCATTTCTTGCTTGATCATAGAGGTGCTTGGCACTCACAAATAAAATATTTCTGTTTCTAGCCCCTTTGAGCTTATAGACCTTTTCTTTGGCACCAACACTTCAAGCAGTATCCGTATTTGTTCTTAATTTGAGATTGTTGAAGCTTTACCCCCTAACGCACTTAGTCACTAAAATAAGTAAGGTGAGAGATTGGGGAGTAACTTTCGAGTGGAACCATGGAAGAGCCCTTAAGGTGCACTAAAGTTGTGAATAAAAAAGGAGGTCACTAGCCGATGAACCTTAATGTATGGAGTGTGTGAAGAAAAAAAAAGAGAAAAAAAAAAACAAAAAACAAAAGTGCAAGAAAGAAAAAAGAATAGTTCAATTAATGTAGAATAAAACACACCTTCTAATCTTTCTAATTCGTGCTACTGGAGATATAGAAGTGCTTAATTGAAAAGAGGGCTGTGTTAGATATAGTTTATGGGAAATGAATTAATTGAGAAGAATATTTGCTCGATTTGTGAGTGTAGTGTATTAAAGTGCTTATGAGGGTTAGTTACTACTCCTAAATGTATTATACATGTCCCTTAGCCTACATTACAAATGTAAAGTCCTAATTGATTCTAGATTTTGCTAGCTTAGATTAGTAAAGATGTACATTACGGGCAAGCTTATGGTACGACCACGGGATGCACATGAAATTTTTTGTGAGAGTAAGTGAATTTTATTCAATTGTGTGATGTCCTTAAATTATGTTCAATGGCATATTTGAACTTATGAGCTGCTTCTATATTCGCTCTTTTGCTTGTGGTGAGGGCACTTGATCTCATGACGGATTGGTAATGTTGTAAACTTCTCTTGTTGGTGAGTGCACAAGTTGAGGGTGCTTAGTGGTAGCAAGTCGACTCTTGAGGTAGGGTGTTTGTGGATAGGTTGTTTGAGTTGGGTTGAATCGCAGTGTATACTTGGGCTTGTTTAAAATGGGAAGAATGTAAAATTCGCTTGTTCATGCTTGATCGCCAGTATCGACCATAGTCAAAAGGTAGAGTGTGATTGAATTAAATTTGAATTGCTCTTTCCTAGTGAGATGTACGTTTTTGGGTGTTGATATAGTTCGTTCAATTTCAGGATCAAATAACTAATAAAAGCTTAACTCAGACAAGTAGATAATTTCGAAGTCCCCGGCAACGGCGCCAAAAACTTGTTGCGACCAAACACACACGCAAGTATACGTGGTCGTCAAGTAATAAAGTAGTGAGTAGAGTATCATTCCCACAGAGACTTATAATTAACTTTTGACGGATTCAACACAAACAACTTATCTATTCAATTGAATATCGTATTGCCGTACCTTGGCTTTTTGATACATGTAGATCGTATTGCCGTCAGCACTGAATAACTTGTACACGAAACGGCTTCTGTTTTGAAGTCTTTCCCAGTCAATAGTCAATAGCGCTGCCTCTATTATCAGATAGCATTAATAGGCTGAGATGGAGCTTAGATCCCAAGAGTAGCTGCCTTTTAGACGGTGTGACCTAATTGTGTGTTTTGACTCTAATATGATACCTTCATCTGCTGCACTAAGAAATTGATAAGTGCGGTGAATTTTCTACATGAGGAAATTTCAACTGGAATGCCTTAGTATTATTGTGTTTGCACCAGCTTAAGCATTATTATGTATTTATGTTGGGATGGGTATTGGTCTCGTCTTGACATGAAGTTGAAACGAATTGCTAAAGATATCTGAAAATATAGTCCAAAATTTGAGTTTGTTTTACAAATTTGAAAAAAAAAAAAACTATGACCAGATCTGCCTTAATTTGTGTAAGTAAGTAATTGTGACAGGTTGACCAATCCATAATGAAAACACCAATAGATAGGAGTCCAAAGTCTTAAAACTAGCTAGCGCAGTCCAAACTCAAACTTACTTACAAGTTGAATTATG